TTCTTATTTCATCTCTTCCCCCAGTCCAGTAATACCCAAAGTGCACTACTCCTAGGTGACAGCAGACTTAAGTGACACTTAATACTACTTGACATGGGTCGAGTAAGTACCAACAGATAATCACCGAAACTTTTTGTTCTCCCTGGCTATCTCTGTATGCAGAGACTCAGAAGGACAGAAGGACAGTGGGATTGAGTTCAGAAAGTGTGACTGAATATTCCAGGATAAGGGATGTAGAGCTACCACTCATCTAGTTCTCAAGCCACAAACTTAGGATTTTGCCTTAATTTATCTTTCCCTCAAACACCACATCCAATTGACTCCACACTCAATCCACATCCCAAATCCATTCAGTTCTTCCATTTTCACCACTTCTACCCTAGTTTAAGCCCACCATGCATCAGCCTCTAACTGCACTTCCTGTTTCTACTCTTGTTCCTCTCTATAGCAGCTCGTGTAATCTTTTATAAAAATATAAATCATAAAATGCCACTGCCTACTCTTTAATGGCTTTTCATCATTCTTAAGTTAACACCCATTTAACCTGAAAAGCTCCAAACCTCATTTTATACTTCTCTGCTTCAGCCACACTTGCTTTCTTTCTGTTTCCCCAACACACCAAGCTTGGTTAAAATGTACTTTCCCCTGGTTTTCACATGGCTCCTTTTAAGGACTCAGTTTAACTTTTACCTACTTAGAGAGGACTTACCTATTTATTCTAAAGTAACCACCTAGTTGTTCTCCATCACATTGCTCTGTTTTATCAGCATGACACATTTCTAGTTGTTTCTTGTGTGTATGTATGTTTTCAATTGCTCAAACTTTTGTTGAACTCTTCCATTTCCTATATGGGAGATAGGAAATACTGAATAGGGATCAAAAGTCTAAGAACTTGGGGCTTCCCTGGTGGCGCAGTGGTTGAGAGTCTGCATACCAATGCAGGGTACACAGGTTTGTAGCCCTGGTCTGGGAGGATCCCACATGCCGTGGAGCAACTAGGCCTGTGAGCCACAGCTACTGAGCCTGTGCGTCTGGAGCCTGTGCTCCGAAACGAGAGGCCACGACAGTGAGAGGCCCGCACACCACGTTGAAGAGTGGCCCCCACTCGCTGCAACTGGAGAAAGCCCTCGCACAGAAACAAAGACCCAAAACACAGCCAAATATAAATAAATTAATTAATTAAAAGGTAATGTGAAGTTCTTTAAAAAAACAAAATGTCTAAGAACTTTATTTCAGATTTTTCTTTAACTTCCTCACAATAGCTATTTTATCTATTGTCAGTTTTCTCCATCGTGATTAGCTCTTACTATAGAGTGGCATGGGGACTTGCAACTAACTCCATATGAAGTCTTGAAGAAATAAGAACACCAAAGACTAGGGTAGGTGGCAGTGACTTCAAACAGGAAAGGAAAGTATGCTGAATCCCTATAGCCTCCTATAGAGAAGAAACAAAGAGTCGAAGTATGAGCTGATAAATAACCTGGGACTAACAATGGAAAGGCCCATGGGACTTCCTAGTGCCTGCCACTGTAATCTCTGAACTCAGATTTCACCTTCCTACTGTCCTCATAGCACAACATAATACTGTCAGATCCGTACTGAAATCTCACCATCACCACCTCTCTCCCAACCAAACCCTTCAGATTCAGACACAACTCTCCAATTCCTTTTTGGGAAGTCATTCCTTAAAACTTTAGTCCACCCAGAACTCTCTTCTCTGACCTCCTTGTTTCAAAAGTAAAATCCAGTTGTGGAGCTCATTGGTCTTTCTTTGTTTGTTTATCTTTACCATTACTTGTTTTTGTTTTTGTTTGCTTGTTTTATTTTTATTTTTGCTCTTGTCTTAATCTTAGAATCCTATGTAGCACTGAACACAAGATACCCAGTAGGGTTTTTTGGGGTTTTTTTTTTTTGGATTAATTGAACAGATTCACACTCTGGCTGAAGTTTATACCCTCAGGGACCAAAAAAAAAGAAGGAAAAACTAAAAGGAGAGGGAAGAAGAAAGTGTGAGAAAAACAGGGACTCTAATATATAGGGAAAGGAAGCAGGGGTGCAGAAGAGGGAAAGGACCCAAAAAATCAGTTTTCATTGTGAAGACAATCACAGTTTTATAACATGTTGTCAATCTGCTAAAATGGAAGTTGACAGGAAATTGGCAGAGACAGGGAAATGGCCACAGGCCAAGTTATACTCTTGTGTTAAATCTTTCCACTGCCTTGCCTTATTTGCAGCTACCTCATGGTCTCAAAGCCAGGTAGATTCTGATTTGTTCCTCATACAAGTAAGGATTTATCAACAGACTGATTTATACATAGCTAGAAAGTAATAATCATCTGTGGACATCAAACCGGATGAGCCTTCCTCTATCACCTCTTTCTTTTTACAACTAAAAACTTACTGTGGGATATAAGTAAGTTTCAGTGGAATAACATGAAATCTCAATATCTCTTGTACAGTCATAACAGAAGTGGTTTCTGCCATTCCTATCCAGAAACTAACTCACTTTGAAACCACTCACTTGGTCTATCAGGTAGATCAGTGTTATTCACTGCTATTTCCTAGCACCTAGCATAGTGCCTGGTACATGTCATGTGTGCAATAAATTTTTGGATACTGACTGATTGGATTAATGAATAAATGATGGTTCCAATCTCTGGTGCACCCTTAGGTGACCTTAAGCCAAAGATAAAGACATATGGGAAATACAGGATGGATTTTTTAAAAGGACATAATTGAGGGAGAAGATTACCAGAGTTCTGCTGCTTTGTTTATCTCCACCTAAAATTCATTCCACGAATAGAAACTGAATGCCTTCTATGCCTTCTATGTGACAGGAATTGTGTTATACCCTCAAGTACAAATATAAAGATACAGACCCTGGATCCAATGTGTGCTTTTCCATGACTACATCATAGCCTCTAATCACACTCTGTTTCAGTTACTAGACTGTAACTGTCAATGTATCTGTCTTGCCACTATATTGTAAGCTCTATTAGGACACTGCCCATCACACAGTAAGCACTCAGTAAATAGCTGGTAAAGCATCTGCTTAAAGATGCCTTACCAGCTATTACCAATTTACCAATGGAAATTGTAGCCTACTAAGGGGAAAAGACATAATGAACCGTATAAAGTCAGGATTCTTAGTTTTGAGAAAGAAGAGCTAACTCTTGCTGATATAGCAGAAAAGGAGCATGTTGAAGATATTGGGTGGCTCTCAGAATTACTGGAGGGTAAAGAGAATCATGGCAGACACTAGGCCTACAGGAATAATGCACAAAATCACTGCAGAACTAGTGCAGTGAGGAAACTGTCTCCATTGCAGTTCCCCACCCATGCCTCTTCTGCATCGGAAACTCAATGTTGCAACCACTGAGAAACTGCTGTTGCTGCCAGTGCTGCCAACAAAGTCAGCCACCTCTGCTGCTACTCCTATCAAATGCCAAAGAACCAGAGAGCACCCTTGTTCATTGGTAGCTGAACCAAGGTTGGAAAGACAGGTTGAGCCTGGATTGTGAAATGCTTGAACAAAGGTATAGGCAGTCACCAGAACAATTTATTCCTAAACCAGATTCCCCAATCAAATGGAGTAACCAAAAGCTAAATGTGCAGTGCTTGCTTTTTGCCCATGGTGGATGCCAATGAGTATTTGCAAGTTTGGTTGAAACAACAGATGGGAGTCTGCAAATTTAGGACAGACTGCCCCACTTAATCCCTATGATTAATCATGTCTATATTGATAGCCTTACCTGAGATCAGAAAGTACTATCTCTCATAACATATTTTTGGGAATACAACTATGATATGTGGCCCTTATGTCATGAATCTGGGTCAGGTACCAAGAAAATCAACAACATTTAGATCTGCAACATTTAGAGTGTTGGGAAGTGGGGGGGTGGATTCACCAGGATTTTAAGTGCCCTGGATCCTTAGCAACTGAAGGTTTCCCACCCAAATGAGGACTCAATCTTTGTCGTTCTCTTGCATCAGCCACGGGTTGCTACTGGTCACTTCGGAGTTTCTTAGCAAAAACAAAACGCAATCTGTAGAAGCACTGCAAGTCAAGACAGGTGAGTAGAATTGGCTCCAAGGACTGAAGAGGAACTTAGCCAAAAACTATTCAAAACAGGTTAATCCATCTGAACTGGGACAGCAGACACCAAGGAGAAAAGGGACTAGGTTAGACGTGGGCAACCTCGGCCTTGCTGGCTATACTTGCCTATGAATAGCTACCAATTCTTCCAAATCCCCCCGCCACCTTCCCCCCGCGTCCACTCGGATAATCTCTTTAGGCACGTTAGCTAGCCAGAGAAGCAGGGAACCTGTGGAAGAGGATGAGGTGTTATTTGGGGTATAGAGATCATGGATGTTTTACGTATGCACTTAATGAATTTGTCGAGCCCCTCACCCCCGCCCCATCTTAGGCTGGGTCACTCGGAGGAAAAAAAACCCTCTTTCCTGTACCTCCCTTTATGCTGTCCTCGCCTGCGACTTCTCCCTCTCACTCTGAGCCGCACGCAGCCTCCGTGCCTCACCTGAAAACTACTCTTCAGACTTCCTTCCGGGCCCAGCAAAGCCCGGCGTACTCGGTATCTAGAGAGGCAGAGATACTCGCTTCTATCCAAAAAAACAAAACTGCCCTTTCCGAAAAAAAAAAGAAAACTGCTCGAGCATTCCGAAGCTCGCATGCGCGCGTCACACGGGGAAACTGCTAGGAGGGTCCGGGCGCTTCGAATCGCAAACCCCGCCCCCGCGTGTCGGCCCCGCCCCGCCGCCTCAGCCCCGCCCCGTCCCGCCGCGGGGGCAGGCACGCGACGCCCTCTCCAGGCCAGGCTTCCGCGCCCTATTTGGTCTTTGGGGGGCAGGCGGTGGGAGGTGAGGCGTGCGCGGCGGAAGGGGACGCGGGGCGGGCTCGGGTGCGCCAAGGCACAGCTCTAAGCAGCGCAGCCGCCACCTCCTCGGGAGCCCACGCGGCCTCTGCGTCCTGCCTCGGAACAATGGGACTCGGCTCGCGAGGTATCTTGGCTGTGCTGGCCCTGGGGGTCGTGGTGGGGGTAGCGCTGCTGAAGATCATCGCCGACAGCACAGACCCGGAGGGTAAGTGGCTGCGGGGGTCGCCAGCCCCGGCTCCGGGAGGAGTCGCGCTGCCCATCGGGAGTTTCCAAGTTAGATCTGGTTGTGCAGAAAGTTCTGCAAGTCTTAGGCCGAACGCACGGGGCAGTCCTGGAGGTGACCTGATGGCCCCATCACAGGGAAAACTGAGACTTGGGCCAGTCCTCCACCTGCCCCAAGGCCGCCTGCTTAAGAAACGGTGCAGTCTTTCCCCTCAGTTTTTCTGCAAGCAACGGACGCAGGCCTGGAGGAGTGCGTATAACCTGTTGAGTTACCGAAGGATGGGCCTTCAGCAGGGGTTCAACTCAGTTGTTACAGTCTTTCCCCGAAGTTATTGTTTTCCTGGGAGGTTAGAGATTTTCTAAGCCTTCCTTTTGTAAAGGATTAGTTGGATTGAAAAATATGTCTATCGATTCCTGAGCAAACATGTCTACCAGTTAGTTGCGGAACCTTTTAGGCGTTTTCCGGCGTTTCATCGCCTAATTGTGTAATATCATACCAATTATTTATAGTCTTAAGGACCCCAGACGCTTTGGGGCTAGTGTAGCTGGTTGGGAGCTTTTGGGGTGCGGACAGCTCTCCCGGGCGCAGGTGATGCTTGTGCTTCTGTGGATGGGCGCTACCAGCCCCTCGTGTACCGTAAACACCGGCCGAGGCGGGCCGAGGCGCGTATCAGCTGTGCAGCCTTATGATCACAGCTGCACTATTGTTAGGAGTCCAGGACGTCGTCAGTAAAATCATAACAAAATGATTTTGACATTTCTCTTCTGGGGGAAGTGGAGGTGTCTCTTTAGGCCCTTGGCCCTTTGGGGACTTTTTGGATAAAGTCCTGAAAACTGATTTGCTGTGTAAATTCTGTTTTCTCTTTGTCAACTCTTATAGAGGTCAGGTCACTGATTAATGATGAGTAAACTAGAATAAGTTAGTTTAAATGACCCAAGTTTTTCCTGGTTTTAAATTCTATCCACTGTACATTACATTAGTTTTATCCAGCAGTTTGCAAAACCAGACGGTTCAGGCACAACACCTGCTTTTGCCAGAAAAATCTGGGTGACTTAGACAATAACAGTTTTTGTTTGTTTTGCTGAATTTTTTTGTTTGCTGAATTGCACATGTGACAGACTGGCTTTGTAGAGCTAATTTTGAGATCATTTCAGGAAAGAATGATCAGTAAAATCATGTCCGTCATATTTTCAATATTATGAGGTATTTTATTGTAAAAGTGAACTATCTGGAATTAAACAGTATATTTTGCTGCTAATTTTATGCTAATATTTATGTGAGTTGGTCTCCATTTTTTTGTTACTTTGTGAAAGTGTACCTGCTTATTGTTTCTCTAAAGAATTACTGAGTAGAGAAACTGAGTGTGCTTGCTTTTCTTTTGCCCTCATAACAGATTTTTTTTGCCCTGTTTTAATACTCACTGTTTGTTCTGTTTGTTACTTGATGTCTCACTAGACGTTAATGCTATTTGGAAAACTTGGAATGCTCTACTATATGAAAGCCTTGATTTCATGAACTAGTATAACCAATGTGAGCTGGAATCCATTTCTGCAGACTATAAGGTCACCTTGAAACTAGAGTAAAGGAAGGTTCTGTAGAGGATGTCTCAAAAGAGCAAGTAAACGTTGTCCTAGTCTTTATATGCCGTGTGTAATATGTATAAGGTGTCATTATGAAGTACAGTGATTTTTGTCATACCAGAGCTTTATATAGCTAATTTTTACTTGACACTTTTCCTGTGCTCCTCATGCTATGCTAATTGAGGTCCATACTTCATCTCATTGGATCCTCACAGTATTATCCCCGTTTTATAAATGAGGAAACTGAGGCTTAGAAGTTACCTAATTTATTCAAAGTGAAACAACTAATACATGTTTGATTTCAGAGGCCAGAATCCAAACTCTCAATTAACCATTTTGCTACTAAGCTACAGTAGGTGATGTTGGCTTTTCAAGTAGATAATACTTTTATCCACAGTACTGTCATTGCCCAGAATATTGTGGGAGAAGATAAAAACATTATTGAAATTCTTCTTTTAAAATATCCTCCACAGTCTGCTGTATAGTTTCATAAATATCTTCAGTTGAAGGAGGAGGGATACTATGAACAAGTTAGCAAGCCAGCAGACAGGATAGATTGTGGTAGTGCAATGAAAGACATAAGGGTGGGGGAGGCTATTAGTCAGGGCTTTTGGTGGCAAGTGACAGAAACCCACCTTAAACAGCCTTAGGGGAAAGGAAGGACTTTATTGACCCTTAAATGGAAAAGTCCAAGGATTAAGGTGGCTTCAGAAATGCTTCATTGAAGAGTTCAAATAGATTGCTAAGAGATGGCCATTTCCGACTCTCTAGATTACATCTATCAAACCATAGGCAAGCCCTAGTTAAAGTGTTCTTAGCCTGCAGGGGGAATCCAAATAACAGGGACTTTCTAAAGTGATTCCCAGGCTTCAAAAGCCACCATAATGGGTAGCCAATTAGGATATGAAATTAATCTTTAATGAGCCTGTGCCACTTCATGAACTTAACTTTCTTTTCTTCTATTTAGTGCAATATTCTATTTTACTACTTGGTCATTTTGTCAAGTAAAGCATCAGCCTCCTTGTTCTTAGATTGTCCATGACATTCTTTATCTCTTAGGACACAGAAACAGTGCCTGCCCATAGCAGGTACTTCATAAGTATTTTTTGAAAAGAGGAGAAAGAGCTTAGAAAGAACACTGCTTCTGCCTTCTTCCTCAAGAAAAAAAAAAAGGGTTGCCAGGAAATCATCCCTCATAAGAGTGACAACAGCAGGTAGACAAAAACAGGAGGCTCTCAGAGCAGTCTAGGCAAAAGATGAAGGCACGTGGTAATGGACATAAGTAGATAGAGTCTAGATCTGTTTGGGGGGGTAGAACTGAAATCATTTGCTAATGGATTGCATGGTGGAGTGAGGAAGAAGGAAGAATCAAAAGATGACCTCTTGGTTTTAGGATTGAACAACTGGTAATGCAACAACTGGAAACACTGGGGCAGAAGCAGGTTTATAGCAGAAAATCAACGGTTCCGTTTTGGCATTCACAAGTACAGGCTTTGGAATCAAACAGCCTGGTCCAAATCCAGACTCTGCCACTTACTAGCTGGGTGGCCTCCTCTGGGTCTCAGTTCTGTCACTGCACAACAATGTTCCTGTCACAGAATTGTTGTGAGGGTTAGATGAGCTAATGCAAGTTACATGCTCCCCATGAGGCCTGGCATGTAGTAAGCCCTTAATAATGTTGGCAATTATTTGCTACCTGCTGCTAAATACATCTGTATAGTCTACTGACCTTGATCTTTTTCAAGTTTAATCTTCACACTGTATCCTTTTGTGATAAATGGATTATGGTTCCAGCAAGAGGAAGAAACGCACAGTAAAGATAGCTCCTTCAAAGTTGTTATTGCTTACTTTCTTTGTACTTTGAAGGTTTTTTGGGTAGGAGAAAACTATCTTTGTGAAAAGTACACAATAATAAACTTACTTGCCTCCCATGTAGTATGTGTGTTAATCTTCCATTATACAAAGACCAAAGATGAATAATCCACTCTGAAAAGTTGCTTAACTGGGGCATAGAATTCTTCCAAACTTTTTCCAGAATTTAAGGTACTAGCTAAAAATTCAAAGAATTATGCTGAGAATGCTTGCAATTTTAAATGAAAATCCTAACCCATTTCATCTTCTCTCCATTGTATGCAGTTAGGCATGTTGGTGGTACAAGACCTAGGGGCACCCGTTAATAGTAAGGACCCCTCCCAGATGGTCCACTCTACTCAGAAGAGCAGAGTTGTCAGTAGCAAAAATTCCTCACCAAGCACTGTGTCCTCATGTGGGTGAATGAACTGTGGCAAACTATTGTATCATTGGCTGGCACATAGTAAGTACTAAATAAGTGTTACATTAGCCATATGTTTTCTGCCTTGAAAAATCCAATAATACAGTCCCAGATTTACTGACAGTTTCAAGGTATATTTCATAGCAACAGTGGCAAAAGTAGAACTTCCTATGGAATAATCTACCCTTCCCCCACACCACCACCAACCCAGAGACAGAAAGAAACATATTGCCAGTGTTCTTAGTTAAATATTAAATGTCCTTCCATCACAGGATATTTCTTTGTTTTTATGGGATCTCCAGGTAAGAAGAATCCTATGTCTGTGGAAGACTCCAATGATAACCCAATAGGTGAGTTTAAAAAGGTCAGGAAACAGATTACCTGTCTAGGATACATAAAGTAATATCATCTAGTCAAGTACATGTAAGCTGGTACACTGACCTGTCTTAACCATGATTTGTTCATTCGTGAATCCCTAAAGCCTACCATCAAGGGCTGCCCTTAGTGGGCATCAGTAAATGATAGTTCACTGGATTAACAGTCTTTCTCAGTTTAGCAAAGATGTGAATAAATTCTGAAACTAAAAGCATACTGGAATTTATTACTGAGTTCTGAAGCACATTTTTAGGTATGACATTTTGCACTCTGCCTATAATATGAACTATGAATATGTAAGTCTGCTAATCTTGCCGGTAGATCAAGTCACGCTAAGCTGGTCAGCCACAGTAGCCTTAATTTGCTTTGGTGGACTCCAGGGAGACCCTACTTACATTTCACCTCAGTTAGATTTCAACCCACCCTCTTGCTTCCCTATTGAAACAATAGATGAGGCCCCTTTTTTTTTTTTTTTTTTTTTTTTGGCTGCACTGGGTCTTCTTTGCACCTCGTGGGCTCCTGTCTAGTTGCAGCATGCGGGTTGCCCCACAGCATGTGGGATCTTAGTTCCCCAGCCAGGGATCAAACCTGCGTTCCCTGCATTGGAAGGCGGATTCTTAACCACTGGACCACCAGGGATGTCCCAGAAAGATGCTCAGGCATTTTTCTTGTGCTTTTAGTTTGGGCCAAATGGATTTCTTTCTTGATTTTCTGAGTTCATTAGCATGGAAAGATAGGAATCAGGCTGATGTTATAAGTAGTGAACCATCAAGGCATGTTTCTTGTAAGCAGTATTTAGTTTATCTTCTTACTGTCCTTGTTATTAAGAGTTGACAGAGGTAGAAACTAGAAAAAGGTACACAAATCCTATCACTGGACCCATTTTCTCTACTTTTATTCAACAAATATTTATTGAGTGCCTCTAATGTAAGGACACATTACAAAATGGACCAAGCCCTTACTTCTTGGAGTTTTTGTTTGTTTTTTGTTTTATTTCATTGTAGAAAAATACACATAACATAAAATTCACAATGTTAGCCATTTTTAAGTATACAGCCCAGTGGCATTAAGTACATTCACATTGTTGTGCAATGTCATGGAGTTTTTTTTAAATTAATTTTTTTAGTGAAATATAGTTGATTTACAATGTTCTGTGAATTTCTGCTGTACAGCAAAGTGATTCAGTTATACATATATATACATTCTTTTTTATATTCTTTTCCATTATGGTTTATTCCAGAATATTGAATATAGTTCCCTGTACTATATAGTAGGGCCTTGTTGCTTATCCATTCTGTATGTAATAGTTTGCATCTGCTATGAACATAGGGATGCATGTGTCTTTGAATTATACTTTTGTCCAGATATATGCCCAGGAGTGGGATAGCTGGATCACATGGTAATTCTATTTTTAGTTTTCTGAGGAACCTCCATACAGTTTTCCCATAGCGGCTGCACCAACTTACATTCCTACCAACAGTGTAGGAGGGTTCCCTTTTCTCCACACCCTCTCCAGAATTTGTTATTTGTAGACTGTTTAATGATGGCCATTCTGACTGGTGTGAGGTGGTACCTCATTGTAGTTTTGATTTGCATTTTTCTAATAATTAGAGATGTTGAGCATCTTTTCATGTGCTATTGGCCATCTATATGTCTTCTTTGGAGAAATGCCTCTTTAGGTCTTCAATTGGGTTGTCTGCTTTTTTGTTGTTGGGTTTTATGAGCTGTTTGTATATTTTGGAAATTAAGCCGTTGTCGGTCGCATCTTTTGCAAATATTTTCTCCCGTTCTATATATTGTTTTTTCATTTTTTTATGGTTTCCTTTGCAGTGAAAAAGCTTGTAAATTTGATTTGGTCCCATTTTTTTATTTTTGTTTTTATTTCTATTGCCTTGGGAGACTAACCTAACAAAACATTGGTATGATTTATGTCAGAAATGTTTTGCCTATGATCTCTTCTAGGAGGTTTTTTTTTTTTTTTTTTT